TCCTGACTTTAAACCATGCAGTATCCCCTTGTTCTGTTCAAACAACTGTCTGTTGGTCTATGTATAGGTTCTTTATGGGCACAATTAAGTGTTCTGGAATTCCCATTCTTTGCAATGTTACCCATAATTTGTTATGATCCACACAGTTGAATGCCTTTGCATAGTTAATAAGACACAGGTAAATACCTTTCTGGTATTCTCTGCTTCCAGCCAAGATCCATCTGACATCAGCAGTGATATCCCTCCTTCCACATCTTCTTCTGAACCTGGCTTGAATTTCTGGCAGTTTCCTGTTGATGTACTGCTGCAACCACTTTTGAATTATCTTCAGCTAAATTTTACTTGTGTGTGATATTAATTTTAGCTAATAATAACGTATCGATATTGGTTCATTAATTGTAACAAATGTACCATACTAAGGAAAACTGTTAATAATAGGGGAAATTGGGTGCTGGGTATATGGGAACTCTGTTCTATCTTCTCAATTTTTCTGTACATCTAAAGCTATTGTAAAAAATTAAGTACACTTAAAAAAAAAAAAGCAAAGGGGTTGTGTCCAGAATACAGCTATGCTTTAAAATTTTTTTTTATTTCTTTAAAGCTCCTATTTACCATGTGCCAGTCATTTACCATGTGCCAGTCACTGTGCTAAAAACTGTACACAGATGATCTCATTTGATCATAATAATTGCTTGTGTTAGGTATAATTAACCACCTTTTACAAAAGCTGATGGAACAAGGAGAGGTAATATAAATGGTGGAGCCAGAGTTGGAACAAAGATCTTTTTTTTTATTTTTTCCCATACAAAAATTCATGCATACATTGTCATGTGACTCTATTTGCTCTCCCCATACTATGACAGCACACTCCTCCTTTCCACCCCTATTTCCCATGTCCATTCAGCCAGCTCCTAACTCTGCCTTCCCATCTCACCTTCGGACAGAAGCTGCTTGTTTACTCTCTTGCATCTACTTGAGCTAAGAGGCACACCACTCACTAGTATCACTTTATGTCCCACAGTCCATTCCAATCCCTGTCTGAAGAGTTGGCCTCAGAAATTGTTTTAGTTCTGGGCTGATAGAGAATCCAGGGGCCATGCTTTCCGGGGGTAACAAAGATCTTTCTGATCCCCAAATTCTTAGTGTCTGCAACCCTGACAGTATCCTGGCTTTTCCAGGAAATGTTTAGACAATCATCATAGGACGTGCATTCCTAAGAAAAAGGGATATTCTAAAATCAGGAGAACTAAAGACTGTCTTTACTTCAGTCATGATTATTTCAAAAGTACGTCAGTTCCAGGTTGAACCTTCAAGCTGAAAGGACCTGTAGGAGTCAAAGTCCAACTGTGGTACTTCATTTCACGAATGGGTAAACTGACGGATAGGGAGAGAACTTGGCTTGAATCAAGCAGGGAAGGGCCAGGAAGCCAGCTTCAGTCTCTGTCACGACTTCTCCCTTCCCCCCTCCACATTTCCTCTTCGTAGTTAAGAAAGGAAGTAGGAACTGGCCATCTATCTTCCCCGATTTCTCGATGGGAAACTAGCAATATCGACGCCCCCCCCCCCCGCCCATGGTTGGGTGACAAGCCCAAGGACGCACTGGCATGAGGGCGGGACCTACAGAAGAGATGTCGGGAAGGCTTGTTTCCATCCCACAAAACCATATTCTCAGCACGTCCTTAAGCACCTACTGGGTGCAGTGCCTGCAGACTGAGTGTCACGGGGAGGGGCCTGCAGAGGACGGTAGCTCGTCGGAAGAGGGCTGCGGAGGTCGCAGGCTCGCGTTGGTTCATAGGGGTAGGAGGGCGCGGACAGCTCTAGGACTTGAGGTCCCTTCGAGGGCGTGCCTTTGGAACCGTGGCGTGGAGCCGCACAACCGCCAGTTTGGGGCAAGGGTGGCCCCTGCGGCCGTCCTCGTCTCCTCTCGCTGCTTGGCTCTTTTTAAGAGCCGGTACCACGCGCCGGCGTCACAAAGCGCCGCCACCGTGCGGGGCAGCCCAAAAGAGGTGGGGAAAAGGGAGGAGATAGAAAAGAGGGGGGAGGAGGAGGTGGAGGAGGGCGGGGAGGGAGGGGCGCGCGCACGCGCGTCGGGCCGCTTGCCGCTGAGAGCCACCCCTCCCTCGCGGCGCGCGCCCCTCCTCCCTCCCTCCCTCCCTTCTTCTCGGCTCCGTCGCTCTCGCGGCGCGAGGCGCTCTAGCTCTTCTCCTCCGTCTTCTCTGCTGTCGCCCCTCCCCCCGCGCAGCCGCCACTGCCGCCGCCGCCGCGAGACCCCCGCGCGCCGCTTTTCTCCTCCCTCTCCGGCCCCGGCGGCCCCGGAGGAGAACGACAGAGCGAGAGAGCGCGGCGCTCCCGGGCCGGCTCGGCCCCCTCCGCTCACCATCGCTGGCCCTTCGCCGCCTTCCTCCGCCTCCACCTCCTCTCCCCCCCCCCAAGTTGAGGCCCCCTCCGGGGGGGGGAGGCCCAGGACCCGGGGCGAATTCCCCCTAACTCCCTCAACCCCTTCCTCTGCCCGGCCCAAGTGTGAAGAGAAGGGCCCGGCCCGGCCCGCGTCGTGTGTGAGGAAGACCCGGAGCGGCCCACGGGCCGTCTGGGGCCTGGTCCGGCCCGCCCGGTGGGTGAAGACCGGGGCCCGGTGCGGCCCGGCCCCAGCGCGAGCGGAGGGGAGGGGCCTGGTTGGCCCGGCCGGTGCGTGAGGACTGGGTCCCGGCGCCGCCGCCGCCGCGATGGCCCAGCAGCAGATGACCAGCTCGCAGAAGGCCCTGATGCTCGAGCTGAAATCCCTGCAGGAGGAACCGGTGGAGGGCTTCCGGATCACCCTGGTTGATGAGTCCGACCTCTACAACTGGGAGGTGGCCATCTTCGGACCCCCTAACACTCTCTACGAAGGCGGCTACTTCAAGGTACCCCCCACCCCCTCCGGACCTGGCTTCCCCAGCCGAGCCCTCTGCTCCCCGCCGCTCTCGGCTGTTTTCGGGGCAGAAGTGGGAGCGCGGGTGAGCGGAGGGGGCTCCTCACCTCGGCAGCCCCCTCCCCCGTCGGTGGAGGCAGGAAGGCCTTGCTCACCAAGTGCTTTTTCTTTGTCATGGGGGCGGGGGCGGGGGCGGGGGCGGGGGGGAGGCCCGTCTGCCCTGGGAAATGGGAAAGCCTCTCCTCTGACGAGGGTAGTAGCTCCTGGGGAAGGAAGGCTGTCTTTTGTTTTGTTTCTCCAGCTGAGGGTGTATGGGAAGAAAGGTAGTCTGTCTTTCCCTTCTCGTTGTTCCATCAGAATCATCCCAGCGCAGGCTGGAACTGCCCCAGAGGGCAGGGTGACCTGCGCTTATTGGACTTTTCTTTTTTGGTGGAGGTGGGGGTGGGGAAGGGGTACTGGCTTGTCATCCCAGAGGCTGCCTAGTGACCTGACGTTTTGAGGATTTTTTGGGGAGTGGTATTTCCAACTTTGCATTCCAGTGGGCGGTAGTGGGGAGTAGGACCCTAGGGTGGTAAAAAAGAGTGCCTGAGTTTTCTTGCCATTATCTATTTGAGAGAACTTTAATTTTTTCCTTCTTTCTGTTCTCATTCTCTGTTTACTTCAGTGGTGTTTCAGAATGCCCTTTGCCCTCACCCTGCCACTAACTTTACTTGGCTTGTTTTTTTACGTGTAGAAATAATCCACATGTAGAAGGTGGAACATGTCATGCAGGGAGATTGATAGTTCCGCACTTTAGGGAGACAAAATTGAAACCTTTTGCTCAGGTTAACTTTAGCAAATGGGGTGGTCTCACGGTTCAAAAGTATCTGAGGTGAGGTGGTTCACTGGCTGGGATGGCTCCTTAGACAGCGACTATAGATGTAGTTTCTGTTGTTTTCCACGGTTTAGAACCGGAGTTATTATCATTCCTGAACCTAGCGATTTTTTTTTTAAAATCCGAGGTAGGTAACTTGAAGACGCTGAGTTGTTAGTTTGTTCTTTGTTTTTATTTTAGCTTTTTTGCAGAGATGGCTCACAGACTGAAGGTTTGAATATTTTAAAAGGTGGGGCCGGAGAGAGGAAATGAGTGCTTAGGAATCCATTTAATTTTATTTTTTTGTTTCCAAAATTAAATAAGAGATCGGTGAGCCAACTTCAGTTTGTTTTGAAGGGAGGGACTGTCTTGGCACAAGTTTTAAGTGAGTATCTTAGTCATGTAGTTACGATGTGTATTTTTAGGACTACCCAGTTACTTAACTCTTGTTTTCTAAATGTATAAGTCTCAGTTTCAGGCTTGAAATTGGGTCGATTTTGTAGAAAATTTGAAGGATTGATGTGGCAGTGTTTAAGATTCATGCCTGTGGTAGTCACTGAATAACTTAGTGAAAGCACGTTTTCGTAATAGTGTATAAGAGCAGTATCCTTACCAACTGTGTGCTTCGTCTTTTGTGGTGAGCATACACAATACTTTTCAGATGTAGATATTTAAAATCACTAAACGTACAAGTTATTAGTGGTAAATTGGAGAAGGTATTGCTGTGTCTATGTTGAGGCCTCTTTTTCTACTGTGGTGTCACATATAAATTTTCATTTATAGATACTGTAAAAATTATTTGCACAGAATGGAATTTATGTGATAACTTTTTACCAAAGTAATATTTAGCAAAATCTACTGGCTAACTAGTGGAATAAAGTTTAATTTCCTAAAAAGTATCATCATTTGGGACAATTAATAGTCAAAGTAAATGAGTGCTGTTTAGAATAATCTCATTCCAATGCAGTTTTTTTTTTTTTTTTTTAAAAAAAACTCTGAAAGAAAATAGTGGGTTGTAAATTGTAATATTTTTGCCTAACTGGGGTAGGAGTATGGAGAGCCCTTTCAGTTTGGAATAGGTAGTATGGAAAGAGGATTCGTTGGGGCAGACATTGATTAAATTAAATACTTTTTAATAAAGTGCTGGTTAAAATAATATTTAATCTTCAGTCTCTTTGTATGTGCTAGATATCTTAATCTTTGATTTTTTTAACCTTTATTTCTGACATAAAAATATTTAAAAAATTCCTGAACAGTTTTCATAATTTAGTGTTGTATGAGAAGTTTAATTGCATTTTCTTCTACCCTTTATCGTATGGCTTTTTATGCTATTACTCTTTTGTTGGAAAAGGCAAATTTATGGTCATGAGCAGTTAATACCGGTGATAGGTTTAAAACCATTGTTTATTTCACTACTTCTGTTTTAAAACAAGGCTTTTAGTGTTTTGCACTACAGCTGCAGTTAAAAGTTGGCACAGAGCTTTCCCTGCCACTGTTGTCCTCCCTTATCAAATGTTAGTCCTTGAACATTTAGTATAATTCATTTTAAGTTAAACTTTTTTCCCTATTTTGCATAATAGTTTCTGAAGGCAGCGGGACTGCCATTCATTCTCTAAATTTTTCATAATGTGACTCCTTTAACTTTTATATATTAATAACTTTCTAACTGATCTTTTTCACCATGAAATAGTTGGCTGCAGTCTGTTTTAACCATGAATCTGTTGTGGCGGAGATGTGTGAGATCAGTATTTCACAGAATTGTTTTGATTCATCCTACCTTTTTTTTTTTTTTCACCCTAATACGTATAATTCTTAGTTTTAGGGGTATGGATGTATGATGGGTAAAAGTAGTTTTCTTGTGTGTGTTCTGCATAGTTTAAAATAATTTTTGGCCTTGCTTTTTTCTTGCCCAGTTTCTTGATCTCATTGATTGACCCTCTGAGCTTCTTTGCTTCTTGGAATTTTTCCTCTAGGGGTCAATCATGCACAGAGAGAAAGTAGGAGATGACCTAGAACACTGAGAACACCCTGAGCTTGATTTTGCTACTGTGGAGCAAGTCAGAATTTTATCATGTTACTGGAATAATAAATTGTTGGTCAAGTCGGCAATTAATGATGACTTTTAACAAGTTCACCCCATCCCTTTTAAAACGACCTGTCCTTTCAGATAACTCCTGATAATGATCATAAGTTAGTGTGGCTGCTTTCGTATAAAACTTCCTTGGAATTATTGCATTATTTATATCAAAGCATGATAGCAGTGGGAGGTCTTGTGGTGTAGTGGTTAAGTGGTTAACCAAAAGGTTGGCAGTTCAAATCTACCAGCCGCTCCTTGGAAACCCTGTAGGGTTTCCTAACCTAATAACAACAACAACACGATACCAGTGAGTCTAGAGATCAGAAACATTGCTTCTTTCATGATGTTCATAATATGAAGTTTAAATAGTAGAGAAAGCTTATGAGTTTTGCAGTTAATTTTTTTATAGCTTTAATTTTATTCAGTGATCTGATTGTTGTTGTTAGGTGCCGTTGTGTTGGTTCCGACTCATAGCGACCCTGTGTACAACAGAACGAAAAAACTGCCCAGTCCTGCGCCATCCTCATGATCATTATGCTTGAGCCCATTGCTGCAGCCGCTGTGTCAGTCCATCTCATTGAGGATCTTTTTCTTTTTCACTGACCCTCAACTTTACCAAGCATGATGTCCTTGTCCTGGGACTGATCCCTCCTGATAACATGTCCAAAGTATGTGAGACGAAGTCTCGCCATCCTCGCTTCTAAGGAGCATTCTGGCTGTATTTTTGATTGTAGTAATGAAATACAACTGTGCTCGTATTTAGGAAACTGTAGACTTAACAATTTAGAAAATATTTGCTATATACTCTAAAAGTTTTTTTAATAGGAGCTTCTTTATCAGACTTAACATTTTGACTTTTAACGAAACTATTCAATAATGGTTTTTTTTTTTAATAAAGCAGTAAACATTATCAGGCTTCATTTGTTCTAGAATAAATCAATCTATTTTCTGCCCCTCCTCTTAAAAAACAAAACAAAGCACCAAACTTAACCTTTTTACCTGGCAGTGTCCTTCAGATTATAGTACATTCTATTTTATGACTGTAATTCTTAGACAGACCTTTTAAGAAACTAGTTTTTACCCTTTTTGCTGATATGGATCCTTTTGAGAAACTGATGAATTTTGACTGGGGGAAAATGGGCACACATAAACTAATTTGCATATATTTTCAGAGGGTTGACTGATAGGTTAAGAGTCCCTGTTTTAAGGGCTTTGGATAGACAGCCTAAAAACAATTAAAAAGCTCCTTAAAAACGATAAAAGTAGTGCTTCCCCCGTACAATTACATGATGAACTTTTAAGTCAGTTAAAATTTTCTGTTTTTTTCTTCTCAGTGAACTTTGAGAATAGCTGTTAGGGCATTTCTTGTCCAGTAGGAGAGAGCAGTGAACTAAGGCAACAGTGTAAATGGAAACATAGTTAATTTTCAAGGCTTTTGGGCACTCTGTGAAGTTTCAGATTTTTTTCCCCCTATTTTTCAAACAAATATAGCTCCTTAGTGTTATTGTAGAATATGCTTTTACCCAGCTGATTCCAAGATGTATGTTTTTCTACTTTTTTAACTTCTCTGAAATTGGGACATCTTAAATGGATGAAGTCTTACTAACAGCCAGGTGGCACTTGTGACCCAGTTGTGAGAGAACATTCCATTGAAATCGTCTGATAAAATTTAAAAATATACCAGTGTTAAAGTATCTTCAGTTTGATAAAATAGGAATTTATTTGTGAGTAAAGGGTTTGGGCCCTAATTAATACTTTCTTGGCAGTTTGTTGATTCTCCTTTTTTGGAGATTCGTTGTTAGTAAACAATACTGAGCGCTCATCAAAGGCAAAGCCCAATGGGAAGAGTCACTCCCTTTTAGGTAGTAAGGGAAGTATTAGGACATTGTTAACCTTAGAGCTTTTATGAGTGATCTTCATAAAAATTTTGTGTAGACTTTAAAATACAGACGTGAGGTGTAGGTATTATTGACACAATTGTAGATAGTAATTAAAGGCAAAGTTATTAAAGTTTTAAAGGCAGTTAGAGCATTTGTCAGCATAACCACTATCCATCATGATA